CAAAAAGCCTTCTATCGGTTATCTGCCGGATCTACAGCAAGGCCATGTACCTCCATTCACCTGGTTACTGAGGTGAAAGCAGAGCTCCTCCAAGAGGTGCACCACCATAAAGGCCACCACAATCCCCTGGCACTATTCAAGTATGTTTCAGTTTTCATTGAGATCCTTTGGTTTTTTAAACCCTTGCTATTTGCAGATGTAGTAACTGAAGGATTAAAACATTCAACCTGCTCTGCACAGCACGGCTTTGTACCAAAATAGTCCTTGTTTAGCCAAACAAGCACTACCACTGAGGTGGTGTTCAAGATTCGTTCCAAAGTAGTGTCAAGCATGCAAAGAGTAACCTAACTCTATCCAAGCTGGCATTTGGCATTCCCCTCAGGATAATTTCACACTATTTGAATGCAGCAAAAAGATCAGGTGTCATAATTAGGGAGGGAGACCAGAGCACTGCAGTCCCAGTGCCCCCATTCCCAGCCCTGCTTTTTGCACTTGATTTGTCTTCATGTATAACCCAAGTTCTTCTGCTGCTCAGGCCAGCGATCCCAGATGCAGCCCTGGTGAAAACCCCCATGGCATCACAGGTAATAAGCAGCTTAAAAGAAGAGGTGTGAGGGTAAGGAGGTGATTGGTGACAATCCTCCAGCGATGCCTTGGACCTGGCAATCTGGAACAGGAGGTCACAGCAGAAGCGAGTGTTGAAGCCAAGCAACCAGGGCCAGTGAGTCAGCTCTCAGGAGCTGCACTGCATTCCCCAGCCTTCCCGAAACAAACAGTGCAGAACAGGGCAAAGGTCCAGCACAAAACTGAAGGGCAAAGGTATGTGGGGGAGGGAAAATACTAAGCTTCACAGTTTTTTGGAGCAGTGAGTTCCAGTTACCCTCATCCTCCCCAACAAGATGGGAAGTTACTCAAACCCAAGGTATGGGATCCAAAGAGTATTTCAGAGAGGAAACCTGGGGCAGTAGGGGTGTGGGGAAGGACTCCTGCTGCGATAGAAGCTCTGTTGCAATAGCCAGGAGAGCTCCACAATTACATGCCACGACAGAGCTAGAATTGCCCAACACTTTGGAAATAGGTGTGTGCAGCACTACCGAGCTGGATACCCAAAGCAGGCAGATGCACGCATCTATTCTGAAGGAAAAGAAATGCCAAAAGTAAAATAAGCTTCCCATACATCTTATCTCCTGTACTGAAGGCTGGTTTCAAGGAAAGCCCTATGGGCAGTTAAGTCAGTGAAGGGTGAGGAGCCAACAACACATCTTTCCCTGCTTTCTCCTCAGTTCTGGTAGCCAACCCAGCCTCTGCTCTGCCATAAAGCAACACATGCTCTCACTGAACAATAGTCAGCGAGCCTCTGGTGCTTGCTGCTAGGAACTAAGGTGTGCCTTCTGGAAAGTACTGCTTATCCACCCAGTGCATTTGCCAAACGACAAGCAAGAAACTCTACTCAAGAAATGAAAACACCTCCTGCATCTCCACTAGGAAATATGCCATTTTCTCCTGGCTGAGTCTTTGCAATGAGAACACAAAAGTTAGCGCAGGCAAAGCTCAGCAATCACAGTGCTAGGCATTAAAACGGAGTGTTCTTATTTCCAAGATATAAATGGCTTTAAAAATTAAGAAGTGCCAAGTGCCTTGATGCAACGTTTCTTGAACTAAATCCAGCAGGTTTTCAAAACGGGGTGCTGTTAACACCTGCCTGCACCAACGCTTGCATCAGCACCAGCCCTGGTGCAGGGCACAGTGGAGCAGTCCAACATGTTCCAGAAGGTTGAGCTGTCTTAACTGCAAGCCACTCTGCTCTAGAGAAAAAACTGAGAAAATACTTTGAATTTGGTTTATAGCCAAAAAGTGCAAAGCTGTTTTTGCCAGAAGATGTTTCCTCTGCTGCTGCAGACACACACGCTGCCATCATGCCTTCGCCAGTCAGGCTGCTGGCTGCATTTATTTACATGATAAGAAGAGAGCATGCAACAACCAAGGGACAGAGGACAGACCTCATTCCTAGATCATTAGAGAGTAAACACAAGGCATCATCACCAGCTCTGCCAACGTCCCTCACAAGCACTAAGCAGTGTCCAGTGCAAACCTTGCCATATAGGACAGGACCACGAGTTTTCTCAGGACTCAAAGGACCCCAACTCTGAAACACACACGAACAGAAACGTAACACACATCTTGTCAAGACAGCACGAAAATCTTCTGCTGTGCCACTCCAGCTGAGCCTCAGCTGAACAGCACCAGTTGTCTAACTCGATCTAATAGTTGCTCCACTTAACTGCCACGCCGCTGTGCTTTTGGAAGGAGGGGTTAAGCAGCAAGGAGAGGCTTCGCTTCAACAGTCCTTCCTGAAAAAGCAGAAGCATTGACTCAAACACCCAATTACAGACCTCACTGACAACCTTGAGCGTAAACGCCACAGCAAGTAGGCAAGACACCAGCTTCTGAAGATAAACCCTAACTCATCAAATTCCCCAGTCCCTGCATCAGCCCCCAATGCATTCAACTTCCCCAGCTGCAGACTCAAACAGCTCAGAACAGCCAGAGGTAGATTTGTTAAGCTCTTCCCCATCCATATTCTGACACAGCAGAAACTCATAAAGATCCTGAAGGTGCCTGTGTTTTCTGTGGGCCAGAGCTCAATGCTCAAGCACCAGTTCCAACACAGACCATTAGAGAAAGGATGAACACCTAAGGAATAGGTCTCGTCCATAAAATCTGCTCTATGGGTCTATAATTAAATAATCATTATTAAAAAAAAGAGGGTTTTCAAAGCCTGTAAAACAAGCCTTTATCTTTACAGATACTAAGCTCCTTGGTCTTCTCACTCACTGAGGGCTGGAAACATTTAGTATCTCCAGCACACAAGCACTGCTGGATCATGAGGATGGTTTACTAAGCTCTGCTGAAAAACCAAAAGCATCCAGCAGTGACTTCCTGGAGTTTAAAAGCTCTCAGTTTACTTCAAGTGTACAAAGGACTCACTTTTCTTAGGCCATCCTCCCAGAGGTCACTGCAACACAACAACTCACCTCACCAGCACCATCTTTCGCACTAACTCAAGTTCCAGATCTTGGTTTCTGTAAGCATCTGCCAAAACAAATCCTCTACCTGAAGCAGTGAACACCCAATGGGAGCCTGTGAACTGTACAAGAAGGTTCTTGGGCGAAGGGCCACCAGGCAAGGTCAGCTGCCAACCTGCCTCTCATGGGAGATCACCAGCCGTGTTTGTTTTATGCATTCTCCCTTTTGCTAACCAACAGGTAGCAAAAGAAACAATGCCCCAAGAGAAGAGAGCCAAGTAGCAGCGTCTGGGGCATGGCAGGATCCAGTCACAGCTTCCAAGCGTCCCAAAACATACTACTAACCAACTCCATTATTTAAACACCTTCAGGAACATCGAGATGGACCCAAGAAAACTCCTGAGTGTTGCAGCATTACGCCATTGCCCTACCACAGGGTGGACATGCTACTGACACACTCCCTCCCTCATAAAGTCATCTCAAGAGTTGGCAGGGCCCCTTCCTCATGCTGGGCAGACTGTTCTGCTTGCTTTGAAGAGTCACCCACTTCTGCGATGAGCACTGGAACGAATCTGGAAGCATCTTAGATATGAGCCTTAAACAGGCACATTTAACTACGTGTTTTTGCATGTTTTCATTTATTTCTAAGGATTTTTACTCAAAAAGGCAGCACAATGGAGGGCAGCTTCCACACAAAGAAGTGATTTGATCAGTTTTGTGTCATACAGCAGATGTGGACAGCAATGCTGCCCTGGATTTCCTTAGGCTTTGCTTATGGTGGTGCGTACAATGACAAACCAAAACAATCTGAACACAGACTTCTAACTGACACAATTAACTTCTCCTCTATACTCCCTATTGAGGTGACAGCTTTCCAGGTGGAAACTGCCAAGCTGTCCTTCTTCCAAAGATCGACACCTCTGACGAATCATCACGCTAGGCAGTAAGAGTTCTTGCAAAACACCAGCACATACAGTAACTGGGAATCTGATGTCATATCTGGCAGCGCGATTTTACAGTTAACAGAAGAAGGAAGGAAAAACGCCGATTCCTTCCCAAACAAGCCCCTCAGTGAAAACTTCTGTTTTCCCCTCTTTGCACCGATTCACTCGAGCCAGGTAGGAGCGATGCCCTCCAGCACCTACCCCAACTTCCCAGCAAATGGTGCTCAGCAATTCCAGCCTCTGCTGACGACAGCAGAGGGTTGCAAACGCGATTTGGACAGCGTCGCCCCGTCGCTACCGTTGGAGCCGCGTAGGGAAGCAAAGGACCAACGTCCACTTAGGGGTACCCCCCCTCTTCCCCAAGCCATGCAGTTTCCATTGCCGACCCCACCATCAACACCCAATGCACGGGCGCGCCGGAGCAGAGCCGTGCTCGGCCGCAGCCCCCGGCCCCGCCGCCATGAGTCGGCAGAGAAAGGCGGCGAGGCCTGCGCGCCGGGGGCGAGCCGCCGCACACGTGGGCAGCGCCAGGCCGCGGTGAAGGGAAGCAGCGGCACCACCGGGGCCGGGCCCCGCTCCCGGGGGAAGCCGCTCGCTGGCCGTGCCCAGAGAAGAGACCACGTTGCGCTGCGGCGGAATGCTGGGAGCTGGAAGGGGGGGCACCGCGTGCCCGCCAACAGGCCCCGGGTCCGTCCCCCCCCCGCCCTCCGCCGCCTCATGGCCGCTGCCCGGGCCGCGCTCCCCTCCCCCGCACACGCGCTCCTCGCCTCATGGCCACGGACGGCGCCGCCGCTTCCGACTTCCACCGACCGGCACCCCCCCCCCCCCCCCCCCAACCGAACCCCGCCGCGCTGCCCTCACGCCGGCCGCGGCCCCGCTGCCCGGCCAGGCCGCAGGCGCCGTCCCCACACCGTGTGCCGCATGGCGCGGCCGGCCGGGGCGCGGTCGGCGGCGCAGCCAACCACCACCCCCCCCCCCCCCCGCACACACACACTCCTCCGTTTCCCCGGCTCCAACCGCCGGCACTCACCTGGAGGCGACTGCCCATTGACCGCGGGCGCGGCGGCGTTCTTCGTCCAGGGGTTCACCTTGGGCGGCGGGGCCTCGATGAACTCCCTGCGTCCCGCTCCGCCCGCCTCGCCGCCGTCCTCCGCCTCGCCGCCGGCCCTCAGCAGGCTCTCCTTCTCCTGGTTGTTGCTCTCCTCTTTCTGCTGCTTAGCGCTGGGCGGCCGCGGCGCCGCGAGGCCGCCGTCGGGGCCCATGGGCGGCTCGCCCTTCTCCCGGCTGCCGTCCTGCGGCGGCTTCAGCACCAGGGCGCGCTCCTCGCCGGGCAGCAGAGGGGCGCCGGGCAGCAGCGCCTCCACCTGCGTCGCCATCTGCGCGCACCCGACGGGGACCTCCCCGCGCCCCGCTGCCCCCCCCCACCCCAGACCCCCCCCGCGCTGCCGCCGCCGCCGCAATATGGAGCCGCGCGGGGACCACGCGACTGCCGCGGGGGCGCGCCCGCCCGCGCGCGCCGCCGGGAGGGGAGGGGCGGAGCGGGGCGGGGCCCCGACGGCGGCGCGCACGTGCCTGATGCAACGCCTGTTTGCGCGAGGGGGGCGAGAGGGTGCTGCGGGGGGGGGGGGGGGGGGTGCTTAAAGGGGCCGCACGGCCGGAGCTTGTGGCGGGGGGGGACCGGGCCCCTTCCCGTTCCCGTTCCCCCACCCTCCGCCGGGCTTCACCACGGGGCTGCCGTCGGGGAGAGCCCCGCGATGCGCTGCTACAGAAACACGGGGTGGGGGGTGTGGAGCGGGGGGGGGGGCAACGGGGGTGTTGCTGCGGGATCAACCCGGCGCAGAGGGATGAGAGTGGCCTCGGGTACCCGCACCCGGGGGTAGCGAACCAATGGAAGGACCGGGAAAGGAGCCCGTGTGTGACCGAGGGAGATGACTCTGTCATGGGGAAACCCCATCCGGTGTCCTCAGCCCGGCAAAGCACATGGGGCGCCATCCGAGGAGGTTAAAATCTGAGGCTGGTGGGATGGGCAATGGGATGTCACCCACCCGTCATCGCCGCTAACACCTTTGGTACTTGACCCCTATTTCTTATAGCTATCAAGACGGAGAGCCCAAACCCCGCTGGTTGTATTTATAACACACTTCTCAAACGCAGACTCCGCTGCTGATACAGTTTTAGTGCAACCCTTCCAGTTCTCAGTGGCCCTTGATGCTTTTTCTGTTCTGATTAAGCCTCTCCCAGCCTTTTCCCTCTACCAGTGACCATACCGCTCTGCTTCTTACCAGAAAGGTTTATTTGGGAGCCCCTTGGTGTGTCCTGCAGCCCTGGGGATACATATGTCCAAAGCCCAGCAGTGTGACAAGGCACTAAAGATGTTGGTTCACGAAGGATGAAAAGCTGATTTCCCAGCGGAGCTGTTAGAAGGAAAGAACAGGGTGAGAGACAGACAAAGCTCAGCACTCCTTTTGGAAAAGCAGCAGCGTCAAGGGTCTGGCAGGTCTGCAGAGGGAGTCTCAGGCTGTCAAGGATGCTCTGCTGGGACCATTGCTGCTCACATGTCCCTTGGTACCCAACCCTTGAGTGCTGCAACCTCAGGGATCACCAGTGTGTGCTGCATCCAAATTACATATAAGAATTTGGACAGTGAAATTACAAAAGGAATCATAGAATCCCAGACTGGTTTGGGTTGGAAAGGACCTCAAAGCTCATCCAGTTCCAACCCCCTGCCACGGGCAGGGACACCTTCCACTAGAGCAGCTTGCTCCAAGCCCTGTCCAGCCTGGCCTTGAACACTGCCAGGGATGGGGCAGCCACAGCTTCTCTGAGCACCCTGTGCCAGCGCCTCAGCACCCTCACAGGGAAGAGCTTCTGCCTAAGAGCTCATCTCAGTCTCCCCTCTGGCAGGTTAAAGCCATTCCCCTTGGCCTGTCCCTACAGGCCCTTGTCCAAAGCCCCTCTCCAGGTTTCTTGTATCCCCTTTAGGCACTGGAGCTGCTCTTAGGTCTCCCGGGAGCCTTCTCTTCTCCAGGCTGACCCAGCCCAGCTCTCTCAGCCTGGCTCCAGAGCAGAGCTGTTCCAGCCCTTTCAGCATCTCCGTGCCCTCCTCTGGACTCACTCCAACAGCTCCACATCTCTCCTGTGTTGTTGCCCACAGAGCTGGATACAGGACTGCAGAGGAGTCTCATGAGAGCAGAGCTGAAGTGGAGAATCACCTTCCTCAGCCTGCTGATCGTGTTCCTTTTGACACAGCCCAGGATACAGCTGGCTTTCTGAGCTGCAGTCACAGTTTAGAGGAAGTTTATAACTCCAGAAGAGCAGGCCAGTGTCCTGGCTGGCTGGCTGAACACCCAGAGAGGATGCTCTGACACCAGAATTACAGTAACACCAGCGACATCCTGTACTGCATATAGCCCAATGATCTGCTCCTCACAAGCACAGCCCAGGGGCTACACAATTCCCACCAGCTCGGGCCACCTTCCTGCTAGCCATGCTCACACCTTCACCCTCTTGAGGAGCCCTTAGTGGGGAGTACAGCCTGTTGCTGGTTGAGGATGGTGTCTGTAGCTGGGGGACATGCAGCTCAATGGATTTCCTGTCCTGTTCCCCATTCCTGCTGCTTGGTCCCTTTGGGATGCTCTTCCACCTGCCATGTGAGTGGGATGGGGCCCCTGGTGAGAGCCAAACTGGCTCTGGAGCTGCCAGGCAGGAGGGAGGTGGGTGAGCCTCAGTGGACAGCCAGGCCAAACCTTGGCAGAGCTTTCAGTGATAGAAAAGAGATGCATGGGCAAAGGGGGAGAAAGGGAAATGTCCGTGTAAGCTTTCCAGATCCGCCACAGGATCAAACTGCCTTGGCTGGCCAGCTCTCAAACACCCATCCTTCACTTGAAGGGAAGCTGGGTCTATCAAACTCCACACACCCCAGTGCTCCTCTGCTGGACTCATTTTCTCCTGCTCTGACCACATCTCCAGCACTGGGATATTCTGCTCCTCAGGTCCAACAACTTGCAGAGAAGCAGCAAAAAAGTCACCACTTTTCCGCAGCACGTTTCACTGGTAAATAATCCACCTTTGCCTTCCCCAAATTCAATGAAAGCACCTAATCATCACCCTCAAGCCTGCTTCTCCGCTGCATCCCTTGTCCCACATGTGTCCCCAGGCCCGCCTGGCTCACACCAAGCTCTGAGTGCTGCCTCCCAGCCCTGTGCTGGCCGCGCAGGCTCCAAGGAAGCAGTCTCCAGGGAAACTCCGCTGGCAAGCAGTGATTTGGGCAGGAGCTCCCACCTCCCTTGCTCCATGCACAGCAGCTTATTTCTCCATGACTGAAGCGTGGCTTGCATATTTATCACAGATGCCTGGATGCTTTGACACTGGCCTGGAGGTCTAAAGATGCTTCGATGGCAGCTGCTAACGTCTTTGAGCATCTCTGGGTCTTGCTTGGCCCTCAGTATCCCCAGTTTCTCCTTTTTTAATCCAGCTTTTAACCTCTCCTTACTCCAGGTTTTTAACCACCAAGCTCACACCCCTGCTCTAGGGAAAGGGGCCCTGCACAAAAGCACAACACACGGACAGAGAAACAAATTCTCTGCTTCTCCTGCGAGGGCAAGGGGATGAGAACACAGTAAGTGCTCATGGACAGTCCCATAGGCTTGTTCTATCTGTAGCTCTGTGATCCAGAGGGATGAAAGATACTCAGTGGCTCTAAGATAAATGCGTTTGGACCCTCCTAGCGAAGCATATGAACAATCAGCATGAAGATGGAATGCATTCACACTAATAGGTAATTTTCAACCTGCGTAATAAAACAGCAGACACTAACGAGTTCCATTATAACCCCATTAAAAAGTGCTTTCACATAGCAGGGCTCCACAGCCCTGGGGCTTGGGCTCCGAAGTTTGACCCTGCAGCCAGCTGAAGGCACCGTGCTGCTCAGGGCACTCATGCCACATGTGGGGTGGGAACCAGCTCCCATCAGCTTTGTATGGAGCCACTTGCCCTTTGCTGCTTCCACCCATCTGCTGCTACTGGGAAGTGATGCTGCAAATGTGTTTGTGTCCAGAGTGCACCCCATGGATTTTCCTGCTTATTATTAAGCTGTTCCTGCTTTTACTTATTAGGAAGTAAGATTGAAATGAGAATAAATATCCCATAATAGAAAAATCTGCTATGCAGGTTTTGCATGTTTTTTAATGATACAGAGCTACTTTTATCACAGAATCATAGAATCCCAGACTGGTTTGGGTTGGAAAGGACCTTAAAGCTCATCCAGTCCCAGCCCCCTGCCATGGGCAGGGACACCATCCACTAGAGCAGGTTGCTTCAAACCCCATCCAATGTGGCCTTGAATACCCTCACAGGGAAGAACTTCTGCCTAATGTCTAATCTGAATCTACCTTCTTTCAGTTTGAAGCCATTCCAGCTTGCGCTATCACTACTTTCTCTTATGAAAAAATCCCTCTAAAAGGTCACAGGTTTTTCCTCCAAAAGCCACATTCTTGTAGGATTCTCCCAAAGCCAGTAAATAACCTTGTCTGCACGAGAAAAATCCTAAACCCACCCCCATTTCCTAGTTATTGATGACATTGGCTGTAGAAAGCAATACCTCCTCTAGACCAGAATTTCACACCTTGTCTGTTTTGCTTTAGATATATTAGTCCAAGGTTGCTTAACACCTCCCTTAAATCATTTGAGTTTCCAGGTGCCTGTGAAAACATGGCACAAGTTGACCTCTGATACTGATACTTTCTTTGAGGAATATTTCCCTCCATGCCACCCCTCTGCCACCAGAAATCTCAGCAAAAATATTCCAGATATACTCTTGCTCTTTTCAGTGGCTTCTACAAAGAGAAATGAGGTATATATGCTGTAGCATCCTTCTCCAAAATGCCTTAAGCATTCTGTGCTTCAGATGAGATGTCCTGCATCTCTTTCAGGTGCCTGCCCACAGCAACCATGGAGGCCCCTGGCTCAGCTCAGCCAGGGATGTTCCATTCCCATGGAGAAGCAAAGCATGCTGGCAATATGCTGTGAGTACCAAGAGCCTGTGTTTCTCTGCCATCAATACCTTGTGCCAGAGCTGGCTGGGGACATACATCTTTCTGCCTCATGCCTAATGTGCAAGAGGCACAAGTGGCTGCTCCATGGAGCTCAATCAGTTCAAGCAGTGGCAGCTTGTGCAGGTGCCCTAAAAGCTCCCAAAGCCTCAAGGTGAGAATCAATAAGATTTATGGGTGGAATTGCTGGGACATTTTCCTCTAAGCACCTAAGGATAATTAACAGCCAAAAGGCTTGGAGTCAACCACCAAAGTTATGAAATACTAAATCAGAGGCAGCTCTCAGCAGCGTCCTTTGCTCTCTTTGCAGGTTGTACATTTGCAATAAAACCATCAGGCACACACGGCTGCAAATTCTCTCCTTTCCCATGGGATTCCTGCTCCTTCCAGTGCCT